ATATATATATATATATATATATATATATATATATATAAGGTTTACTGTACTGCCCAGGTTGATATGGTATGGGTGGTACATACTAGTCCGACTCGCAACCGAAACGCGGCTCGCATGAGTCCCCATCGGTACACCTCAGTGTGCCATGTGTTTGTACACCAGTATAGCTCGGTATATACCATACTAACAAACCTCCGAGAGAGGTCCGGGACCCAAAATGACGACATATATATTATCACACACACACACATGTGGAGATAATGATGTTCTGTCCTCAGTGAAATTCTTTTTAGTTGACAGTCATATACAAAAACATGAAGCTCAATACTGTCCTCCACCGTCAGCTGCTTCTGGATATAATAACTATAGACGTTTTTTGATTGTTTGGACTCGTCTTAGGTAACATCTATCTTGCTTCACACATGTCAGAAAGTCATGAATTTGTCTCATTTTTCCAGGTACGCTAGTTTAAATGGTCCTGTGGATGTTAGGATTCCTAATAGCACGATGACTTCAGTAATTGATGCTGATGGTGGCGATATCCATGATATTCATCAGGTACAGTGAAGACATTGTGTCTTTTTCAAATTCTTTCTTGATGAAAAAACATAGAATAACATAAAATGGCAATATTTCCTTAATGTAGTCAACGAGCATTTGTTACCTATTTATTGACTGTGTGAATATTTTCTTTTTCATTATAATCAGGTCATTCAAACATCAATGAAATTGTCAATCCATGACAAATAACTTCAGTGTCAGGATTCTTATATATGATTGCAATAAGATTCAAATGACAGGATTTGACTGTGTGAATTGCAATAGATTCACCGCTGTCTCAAGCACTCTATCCTTAGTCCTACTTCGAATCGGTGGTTTTAGTGTTCCTTGATGGTTAAATGCTATGTGGACATTGTTGCTGGCTTTGTCGGTACAATTATGCTTTGTTTAATGATTAAAATACATGAGTTGCTAATTTATAGCTGTTATTGTACAATGGTCTGTTTACAGGATCATTTGCTGTCTATTTCAGAATTGTTGAACTAATTGATATACGGTTCCCAGCTATTCACGGATGGTGCCTTTGTAAGCTGTGAAGCCTGTACATTTCAGTATTTAGAGTTCATGCGACAGGTATAATCAACTCCAGTTTCGAGTGCATCATATTATGCTTTGTTCTTTGCAAACTTCAGCATTATAGTTTATTCTTTGCTTTTCTTATTTTTTCCTTGATCCGTCGAATTCTGCATCAGCTTGCTGATGAATCTCTGGTTTATTGGTGATCTTTAAGCTCTGGCATTCTTATCAATCAATTGAAATTGCCATTTTTCTTAATTTGAAGTGATGTTAATATACAGTAACCCACATGCATACGAGTTCCAGCTTTCAACCCAAAGATCAGAAAACTAGAACGTAATCAGTGAGTTAAAAGATGCACAACAATTGCATCCTTTACCAGCTTTATTTCGGGTTTTGCTGCGTGTGGACTGAGTTTACCTTTGTATGCAGGGAATGTTTCTACCTGAACCGGGATTTTGCTGTAGCAAAGCACACATATTACATGCCTGACTCCGCGTGGTAAAGGACCAATTTGTCGAGACAGTTATCGTGCATTGCTCTTGGATTGCTGCTGTTGGATCCAGTGATTAACACAAAGGATAGTTGGTGCCTTTCACAATGATTAATGTGTAATTATAGTCGACAGAGGTTACTTTGATTAAAGATGCACATGAAATCTGAAGTTGTACAGCATTTGCTCCACCACCAAAGAAAGAAACTTTTTTTGAAGTCTGGTAGAAGCTCTATAGTTCCACCAACATTATGCAAGGTTGAGATTGAATTATTTTCAGTAGCTGCTCCAAATTGATTCCTGGTTGAATGACTGTGTTTGCTGTTGTTGTGGTGGTGGTGGTGGTTCTTGTTGCTGTTGTGCACACTCCACACCTATTGATGAAGAGGCAGTAGGGAAGCTCGATTTCAAGTCATTCCCAAACAGAGCATCTCCTTGTGCCACAAAGGAGGTTAGACCGGCCACGTCGACGACGCCTTCTGGTTGCTGTTGACCATTAAAAGACAATCCCTTGGGAATTGCCGGAGATGGTGCCAATCCTGAAGCCAGCAAGCCTGACGCCCATGGCAGCGAAGCCTGGCCAGCCGCTGCTGCTCTGGCCAAGAACCAATTCATGTCGAGCCTGCCGCTGCTGTTGCTGTTGCAGAGGCTGTAATCTGTTTGCAACCTGTCAAAGCCCGATGAACCAACCAGTTTGTTTAGCACCGATACGTCGAGTTCCCCCTGTGACTCGAGCGATGCAGGCATGGCGGGGGAGTCTGGTTGCGGCTTCTTTCCGGTGGGGCTCTTCCTGAAGACCCTGCAGACAACCCATTCCTCCTGCAGAAAGAAAGAAAGAGAACCAACTCCTCCTTCAGCCGTGCAACTCGTCGAGTGGATCTGCAGGCATAGATAATAGCAAGGGGTTGTGGTGGTGACCTTGGTGGGTTCGTAGGGGAACCTGGTTTGCAGCCTGTACTCATGCATCACCCAACTCGTCTTCTCGCCCCTGGGAGCCCTTCCCTTGTAGAACACCAACGTCTTCTTCATGCCCACCACGACCCCACAGTGGAAGATCTCCTTGTCTTTCCCCGTCGTCTTCCAGTAACCGGCGTCGGTGGCTCGGTTGGTCCGCAGCCCCGTCGGGTACTTGCGATCTTTCATGCTGAAGAAGTACCACTCTTTCTCCCCCATGCTGGCCTTCCCTGCAAATATACATATATCCACACCCACACCGGTGATCAAAAGATAGACATTGCACCATTCCACGACCAAGCTGCACAACCCAGAATCAACCAAAAGAAGAAACAGGTGAAGGAGCATGAATACCCGGTAGGTCCCAAGGCTCGCACTTGTTGATGTCGACATCAGCGATGGCTCTGGTGGCGAAGCTGAACTCCGTCACCTTCCGGGTCAGATAGTAGGTGATGAGCTCTTCATCGGTGGGGTGGAATCTAAACCCTGGAGGAAGGGTCTCCTCCATTAATGGCATGATAACCAAAGTGGACCGGAAGAGACGCACATACAGACAGCCTCTCTAGATCTAGGAAGCACTCATCCTCTCAGCGTTGGCTAAATCGAGCAGAAGGAGCAGTTGCAGTGAGGAACATGAAGGACAGGTATTAATAATGGGTGAAGGAGGAGTGAAACTTTGAGATTCCTGCTAGTAGTGGAAGCTTCTTCTACGTCTATTTTGAATCCCATCCAACTCACTGAAAAAGATGGTGTTCCTGAGAAGCTTATTTTTTCGAAGGAAGAGATGGGGGTAAATAATCCATCCACAATCCCTTCATCGAGAATGGAGGTGTTTATTGCAGTGCTGCCATGGTGAGGTGGGAGAAGGGCCGCCGAGTGGTTTTCTTGACATGGTCATTTTAGGTACAGTTGGAGGTTAATGAGGTCATTTGAGTGTGTCTTTTAGAGTATCTAACACACTTCTTTCGGATCCTGTTGTCAGTTTTCCAACCAACCCCAACCGTTTCTACCCACTGAGGGCCACACCCCTTGGATTTCAACAGGATCTAATAAATATAGAACATATATCCAGTGTCTCTTGCACGTGAGGATTACTCTACCTTAATTCGTTCATACTTGTTTATGTTTAGTTCCTCTTTTTAAGAATACAGATGCGCGTTTTAATTCAAGAAAAAGGAAAAGAACACACTCTGCATTGCTCTTACGGAGAAAGAAAAGAACTGAAGACAGCAATGAACAGAGATACAATTTTTTTGTCTTACTAAACACGGCCATAATGGTTCAATAGGTAAACCCAGTTGAAGCTTAAGGCATTCATGTCCTTGGACTGGGTCATCTTACTGTCCACACAAGTATCACGATCAAGCATCAATCATCGAGAGCAACATGCATAGACTTCCATAGCAAATGAAGCAGGACAGCAACTCAACACAGTGTGAGCACAGCGGTCATATGCTACAAAAACAGAGGCTACAGTAGTTAACAGAGAACGGTGACCCCTCTCTCAGCCTCTTCTGCCTTTGTGAAGCTACCTTCTCTGACACTTTAATGTGATTGAAACAGAGTGGCTCGGTAAAGATTTTGGCATTCGTGTGTTGGATTCTCCTCACGCATGCAGACCGAGGAGGAGTCGCTCCTAACGAGTACTTTTTTTGTTTGGTGAAGGCGATGGCTTCTCGAAATGTCACTCTCTGTTTCACTACCAGACCTGCATTAAGAAAGATGGAGGTGAGCTGTTTCCTCCCAGCAGCCACTCGTTTCTAGATCTCCTTTCCCTCGATGCGCTTTGTTCTCCATCATTCAGCTTCACCGAGAAGAGTTTGCTATAGTGGATTTGATCTTTTCAGAAACATTCGGAAGACCTGCAACATTATTAATTTGGCTTCATTCAGCTTTTCTTGCAGTAGAAAGTTCAAATATTCATCTGATCTTACTTATACCGAACGTAAGGTTTTTAATAAAGAGAAAATCTTCATGGAATTGATTGTAATCGAACAGTAAATCGATACGGGTGTGAAGTTTAGGTAGCTTTCATGAGAGCTTTCTCTCAGACAACAAAGACTGGATGGGCGGGCATATTGCTTGCTTTCGAGTCAAGTCATTCCATCCGTGCAGGAGTTTAACCTCTTACGGGTTCCAAATCTTATTTGTACCCGTAATTAAGCACTGTTAATCTACTTTTAAGAGTTATATTAACCTCACCTCAGCTTAAGAGAGTGTCCACATCATTAGATAAAGCACTTCACCATTGTGCTCACTGCAAGTTGCTCCTCAGCCTTGCTGCAGTGCATTTGCCCTCTCGAGTCTTCCATGGAGTGCACGGTGCATTTGGCCTCGAGCGTCTTCCATGGAGTGCAAGGCACCAAAGACGAGGCTGTGATGTTTCTCCTCCAAGTTTCCACCTTCCTCATCGTCCTCCACCTCGTCTCCTTCCTCCTCACCAAGCTGTTCACGTTTCTCCTTGACAGAGCAACCACGTATGAAGAACAAAGGTACATATCCGTCAAGTCTCCTCCTCTCTTTCATGCACTCTTTCATCGGATCAACCTTCTGTTGCAGAGACTCCCTTCTCATCACCGAAGACGAGATCAAGCACGTAACCCACGAGATCTGCTCCGAGGATGGAGAGCTAGCTGCCGGTATCTTTGGCAGAGAAGGCCTACCGTTATTCTACCATGAAAGCGTCGTCAATGATACTCTACTTGTCCATGAAGCAAAGGATTTCAATCAGCAACATCTTTTGGAGGTTGACGAAAGCTTTCTCGCAGAATTCCCATACGGCTCCCCACCTTTTAATAATGAGAAGCTCGGAATCGATCAGTACGGCGATGCTCCAGTGACCGACGTCATAAGACCATCAGATTCTCCATCTCCGATCGTGTGCGAGCTTGTAGAAGGTGCGATTCTCCCCATAAAGCCTTCGGTAATAGCTTGTATCGTGACACGATATTGCTTATGCTGTTAACAGATGAAGACATCAGCGGAGACGCATGCCACGGTATTGTATTGGAGGAGGCTGAGGAGGAGGCTGAGGTGTTATCAAAGAATGAGATTCTCTTCGTCATCGGCCAAACACATTCCGACAGCAACAAGTTTCGGCTGGAAGAAGACGAGGGAACATTTGATGGTTCTCTCGCAGGTGAATCGACATCCAATGGCTTTACGAAATGGAGAAGCTCTGCAATCAACAGGGCTTCCGAGACAGAATGCCTCCTCTCCTCTTCATCACGCAGGAGCTCTTCCAACTGGGAAACACTTGAGTTGTTCCAAAAGTACGATGAGGAGATGACGTTCTTGGACAGAATCAGCTCACAGAAGCTCGCAGAAACAGGTAACATCCTCACGTGCTTCCTAAACATACATCTTAGCTCCTTCGTTCATGGATTGCCTCAGAGCTCATACGTCCGTTCTCAGAATCAGTTAGGTCCATTAGGTTCCAACCAAGATCAATCTCGGAAAGGATAGCCCGCAAATTTACGATACAGAAGAAGAAGGGAGGCAACAGAGATCCATATCAAGAACTGGAGATTGCATACGTGGCTCAAATTAGCCTCGCATGGGAAGCACTCAACTGGAATTACGTCTGCTTCCAGCAGAGGAAAGCCAACGGCGACGGTGAGCGCTTCTACTGCACCGCACGAATAGCTCAGCGGTTCCAACAGTTTCAGGTCCTCTTGCAGCGGTTCATCGAGAACGAGCCATACCAGCGCGATCGGCGGCCTCAAGTCTTTGCTCGGACGAGGATTTCTTCCCCCAAATTGCTCCAAGTTCCCGAGTTCCAAGGTACTTACTAATGGATTCTCCTTCTACCTTTCCAAACTCTAGTCCAAGAATCTGTTTCGCTGAATCAATGATCTTGGAGGATTCAGAAGCCGATGAAGATGGAGAAAACATAATTTCACCTACCGAATTCTCGTCCATTTTAGAAGATGCGATCCGAACCTTCATGAACTTCCTCAAGGCAGACAAGAAGAACCCTCGCCAAATCCTCAAATCATTCGTCAAGACAACCTCAAGCTCTGTGGATC